GTATTCAGCAAGTGTCTTAATCGTATTTGTATTGGAACTAACTAAACCGAAGTGTTTTATATTAGGGTTAAAAAGCAAAACACATGTATCCCATTTGTTTCAGTAAACGAAAATATTCTCTCACCTTTTCCAAACCTGGTTTTCCTGATATACCCATTTACCACCGTTATTTTGACTCTTTGCCTACTTTTCTCTAGGGAAGAGTTGAGGTTTGTATTGTATGGGTCAAAATCTGCTTCGGCGGGATTTAGCATGAGGCGGTATCGTGAAAAGCGATATGGTCGAGGTTGATTAGTAGATAACGGGGTTCGTAGCCGAGTAGTCAATAACGGTCGAGGTCGAGTATCAAGGGCAGTGCTAACGACTAATTTTTGAATATTCTTGGTGTCTGTACTTTTAGGATTGACTAGGGAATGTCCTATATAAAGAGAAAAGGAGATATGGAGAGAGATATGTAATATTCTCTAATAAGAACATTCTTGGAAAGCAGACTTTCTCTCTAGATTAAAGACAATCACTACCTTTCTAAAGAGATTCGATTGTCTATTATTCCACAATTTTTTCATTAGATCCGAGAAGGATCCCAACATTCCAGTATTTGTCTATCATTCATCATTGTCAAAAAGAAGAATCATCTACCTCATTCAATATTGGGTGAATCATTTTCCTTATTTACTTTAATATCATTTATCGTTATTTATTGCTTGATATTCCCCCATCGTTATTTGTGTTAATCGATTATAGATATTAAGTTATTATCATTAACTAGGTTTAGCCCTTCGTCATACAAAATTAATTAGTTTAATCAAAAGTCTAAATTTTTTTGTCAAACAATTTGGCAGCGTATGTGGAGATTATCTAGTTAAGTTTTTAGTTTCTTCTAGATCTATAACTGACACAGTTCACAAAAAAAAAAAAAAAACTCCTACTTCCTTATACACACGGATCTGACATGGAAGGTAATGGAGAAGAAAGAATGAAGGCAGTGGCCGATCTCACTACCAACCTCGTAAACACCATCAATGAGGTCTCCGAAACAAAAGGCGAAAACATAACACCTAACATCTCTCCCCGGCGAAGTGGGTTGCCCCTCCCTCACGGTAGTATCACAACATCACGTGGTAAAGGAGCTTCCACGTCCACCGCGAAAGAGGCGCCACCAGCGGTGAAGAAGCTACTCGAGGCTTGGCTGACAAATACGCTGATCGGCATCCTCAACAAGCCCACCCAGGAGGCAGTTAGAGAAAATGCAAGGACTTTCTTTGCACCAGTAACGGCCAAGTAGCATGGCTCTCCCCCTCCAGTAACAGGTATCACTCGCAATATTAATAATGTAGGTAACGACACCCTCACAGTCATTCTCAGGAAAATGGAAGAAAAGGAAAATGAAAACAAAATGTTTCGGGATCAAATGAGAGAACACCAAAAAAGAGTCGACAAAATACTGGGTGCCCCAAAACTCTTGCAAAAAAGAGACGTTGGTCGGTTTGTTGAGCAACCCTACAGTGATGAAGCCGCCCCGCATGCCATACCCAAGACCTTCAAGATGCCGCCTTATCTGAAAATTTATGACGGTACGACCGACTCCGAAGATCATGTAACTCACTATGTCACCGCGGTAAAGGGCAATGATCTCGCCGAAGAACAAATATCCTCCATCTTGTTGAAAAAGTTCGGCGAGACCCTTACCGGACGAGCATTAACTTGGTATTCACAGCTGCCCGCGCGCTCCATTGAAACATTCGAAAAGATGGCCGACAAGTTCGTAACGGCCCATGTTGGGGTTAAAAAGGCGGAGGCAAGAGTGAATGATATATTTACCATCAAACAATCACCCGGAGAGGGATTGAGGGACTTCCTCGGTCGATTCAACAGAGTAAGGATGACCTTACCGAATGTATCGGAAGGAATGGTTGTAGCAGCTTTCCAGAATGGGTTGAACATGAATGGCTCAAGGGCGACCAGAAAACTATTAAGTCGGCTTATGAAATATCCTCCAACCACTTGGTATGAAATATACAACGCCTACTGTGTCAAGGTCCGTGCCGACGAAGATGACCTGAATGAGCCAACCCATCGATTGACCTCGGTACAAGCCGAAACCAGGAAGGATCGAAGAAATGATGTCAGGAGAGATCTTTCAGCTCCACGATCCAACCTAGAAAGGCATCATCCATATGTCAGAATCGCCATCATACCCCCATCCCGCCACGAAGAGGGCCCATCTAGGCCAAGGACAGGGACTCACCGGAACAAGAGAGGTATGCCCACTTTACTATCCGCTCACATTTTTTGTCTGTCACCCTCAGAAATAGTCTACGCATTGGAGAAGCTCAGACCAAAAGTAAAGTGGCCACAGAAGATGAGTTCAGATCCAAGCACTTGAAAATCTAACGCTATCTGCGAGTTCCACCAAGAGCGAGGTCACAAAACTGAGGACTGCATTGCCCTAAGATATGAGGTTGTGAACATGCTTCATCAAGGACACCTCAAAGAATTGTTGAGCGACCGAGGGAGGACCAACTTTGCGAGAAGACTTAAATAACACCAGGGACCGACGAAACCACCCTCACCGACTCGCACCATTCAAATGATCATCGGGGGCGGCGATGACGTTTTGATCAACATTGTAAAGTTCGCCACAACCCACAAGCTCAAATGGCCAATCACTCATGAACGGTACGACGAACTCGAAGAAAGTATCATCTTCGATAAGTCATATACCCACGGTTTGGTTTTCCCTCACTATGATACCCTTGTTATCACTTTATGAATATTAGATACAGATGTAAGACGCATTATGGTGGACGATGGGAGCGGTGCGTGCATTGTCCATCCTCGAGTACTTGCACAAATGAAACTCGAGGATAAGATATTGTCGCGCTGTATCATGCTAACAAGTTTTAACAATGCAGTTGAATGAACATGCGGGGAAATCACACTCCTCGTCCTGGCCGGTGACGTCACTCTGGAAACCACATTCCACAACATGGACCAGGATACGGCGTACAACGCTGTAATAGGTCAACCTTGGATACACGCTATGAGGGCTATCCCCTCCAGCTTGTACCAAATTATCAAATTTCCAACCCCATGGGAAGTATTTTGCATACGAGGAGAACAACGCACATCTCGAGAATGCTATCGCATCGCCCTAGATTGTACATATACCCAACAAATGAAGGGGAAAGTAGAGGATGCATAGCAATTAATAGGGTCAAGGTCGAGCTGTGATGAAAAGACTTCATTAGAGATCCCGAAATAATAGACGCCACAGGATCAACCGTAGAAGACCTCGACCCCGTCCAACTTGATGAAAATGACCACAGCAAGAAAGCCTATGTCGGCCGCAAGCTTCAAGAACCATGTAAATTCCGTCAATTCTTAACTGCTAACACAGACTTGTTTGCTTTTTCCCACGCAGACATGCCAGGTATCCCGAAGGAGGTCCGCACACACAATTTGAACATCGACTTATTCTACCCCCGGTAAGGCAGGTTAGGCGAAAGTTCAATTCCGCAATAAACGATGTAGTCCGCGAGGAGGTCGAAAAAGTTTTAGAAAATGGCTCCATCAGGGAATCAAAATACCCCCAATGGGTCGCCAATGTGGTCATGGTGAAAAAGAAGAAAGAAAAGTGGCAGATGTGTGTAGACTTTACGGATTTAAACAAAGCACGCCCTAAAGATTCATTCTCGCTACCTCACACTGACCAACTCATTGATGCAACGGCCGGGCATGAACTGCTGAGCTTTTTGGATGCCTACTCGGGCTACAATCAGATCCTCATGGAAGAGGAGGACCAGGAGAAGACCACCTTCATCACTGAACAAGGAATGTACTGCAATAGGGTGATGCCCTTCGTACTGAAAAATGCGGAGGCGACATACCAAAGGTTGGTGACCAAAATATTCAAAGACCAATTCGGCAAGACCATGGAAGTCTGCATAGACGACATGTTGGTCAAGTCCAAAAGGAAAGAAGATCACATCAACCACCTCAAAGAAGCCTTGGATATACTCAGACGATACGGAATGAAGCTGAATCCAGAAAAGTGTGCATTCGGTATGACCTCAGGAAAATTCTTGGGCTTCCTAGTATCGCAAATGGGCATTGAGGTCAACCCCGACCAAATCAAAGCCATAGAAGGAATACAAGAGTACTTAACTAGCAAAAAACAGGTTCAGAGGCTGACCGACTGCATCGCCGCCTTGTCGAGATTTATCTCACGATCATCTGACAGATGCCATAAGTTTTTCAGCGTACTCAAGAAAGACATCGACCTCCAATGGACTTCCGAGTACGTTCAAGCCCTGAAGGAATTAAAATCTTATATGTCGTCACCATCGTTTCTTTCCAAAGCGGAACCGGGGGAACGCCTTCTCGTCTACCTCGCCGTATCTGAAGTAGCGGTGAGTGCAATCCTGGTCTAAGAAGATAAAGGTATGCAATCCCCCATCTATTACATTAGTAGAACCTTAATCAATGCTGAGACGAGGAATCCCCGCCTCGAAAAATTGGCCCTGGCCTTGATCATAGCTTCACGAAAGCTTAGACCTTACTTTCAGTGCCACCCCATCTCGATAGTCACAACATTCCCCTTGTGAAGTACTTTGCATAAGTCTGAGATATCAGGCAGGTTAGCCAAGTGGACCATAGAATTGAGCGAGCATGATATCTTTAACGACCCGGCCGGTCGTTTTGAGAGTTAGAGCCCCTATCCCTGATTAATGGCTTTTCCCATATCTATTTCTACTATTGTGACTTGCCAGGAGATTTCGTTTTGGTTTTTGGAAGTATTTGGGACACTTAGTCCCTAAATGGAGGTTTAAGCCTTAGGATTTGGATTGTAGTCAGAACTGTGTGAAGACGACTCCAGAATGGAGTTCTGTTGATTCTGTTAGCTCCGTTAGGTGATTTTGGGCTTAAAGGCGTGTCCGGAGTATGTTTTGGAAGTTTGTAGCTCATTTAAGCTTGAAATGGCGAAAGTCAAATTTTTGGAGTTTTGGACCGGTAGTGGAATTTTTGATATCGGGGTCGGATTCCGATTCTGAAAGTTGGAGTAGGTCTGTATGGTTGAATATAACTTGTGTGCAAAATTTAAGGTCATTCGGGCATGGTTTGATAGGTTTCGGCGTCAGTTGTGAAAGTTTGAAAGTTTCAAGTTCTTTAAGTTTGAATTGGAGGGTGATTCGTGATTTTAGCGTTGTTTTATGCGGTTTGAGGGCTCGACTAAGTTCGTATGGTATTTTAGGACTTGTTGGTATATTTTGTTGAGGTCCCGGGAGCCTCGGGAGTGTTTCAGATGCTTAACGGGTTGATATTTGGACTTAGGCCATTGCTGAAGTTTCAGACATCTGGTGTTTTTGCACCTGCGGTGGGGATACCGCATGTGCGGGATCGCATATGCGAATAAATAAGCGCATAAGCGGATTTAGGAAGCTCAGGCTAGGATCGTAGGTGCGAGGTTAGTTCCGCATCTGCGATGCCCGCAGATGCGAGAGAGGAATCACAGATGTGGCGAAGGACCGCAGAAGCGGATAGGTATCTGCAGGCGAGCTCACGCAAATGCGGACCTATCCTTCATGAGTGACTTTCGCACATGCGATGCTTTTCCCGCGGGTACGGTACTGCACGTGCGGTTCTAGGCTCGCAGAAGCGAGTTCGCTGGGCAGAAAAGAGAGAGTTCCGAGGGTTAGAATTCATTTTACATTTTGGACTTGAAAGCTCGGAAATTGGCGATTTATTGAAAGATATTCGGAGGAAGCTATTGGGTAATGATTTCTAACTCGTTTTTGGTTGTATTCCATTAATCTATAGTTGAATTCATTATTTAATTAGGGATTTGAGTTGGAAAATTGGGGAAAAATGGTAGAAACTTCATAGACTAAAATTTTGAGTTTTGGAAGACAATTTGAGGTCGAATTTGAGTAATTCTTGTATGGTTAGACTCGTGAGTGAATGGGTGTTCATATTTGGTGACTTTTACCCAATTCCGAGACATGGGCCCGGGGGAGGCTTTTTGGGCGATGTTTCTAATTTCTTGTGTTAGCTTTGATTTCATTAGTTAGATTAGTTTCTTGTAGTTATATTTATATTATGTAATTGGTTTTGGCTAGATTTGGGCCACTCAGAGCCGGATATTCGTGGAAAAAGCATTGTGACCGATTGATTGAGCTTGGTTCGAGGTAAGTGGCTTGCCTAACCTTGTGTAGGGGAACTCCCCTTAGGATTTGGTATTGCTTTCGATATATGAGCGCCGTGTACGTGAGGTGACTAGTGCGTACACGGGCTATTATTGCTAAACTATATTTTCATTAAATAAAATACATGTCTTCATTTAGTCTAGAACAGCATGTCTACGTATCTTAATTGCTTATGTGAACTCTGTACAGCATGCTTATGAATTTCATGCTTCTTCCTTGACTCGTACTTAGTCTAAATCGTAAGATTTTTTTGAAGTAGTTGTATTTCTATTGTTTGCGCTGCGTATTTACTGTGGGACTATGGAGCGGTATTCCGGTAGATCCCTCTGCTCTGCATATTTACTTTGGGACTACGGAACAGTATTCCGATAGATCCCATGTCCTGTATATTTACTTTGGGACTACGGAACGGTATTCCGATAGATCTCCCTGCTCTGCATATTTACTTTGGGACTACGGAACGGTATTCCGATAGATCTCCCTGCTCTGCATATTTACTTTGGGACTACGGAATGGTATTCCGGTAGATCCCCATGTCCTGTATATTTACTTTGGGACAACGGAATGGTATTCTGATAGATCCCCCTACTCTGCATATTTACTTTGGGACTACGGAACGATATTCCGGTAGATCCCCCATGTCCTGCATATTTACTTTGGGACTACGGAACGGTATTCCGGTAGATTCCCATGCTCTGCATATTTACTTTGGGACTGCGGAACGGTATTCCGGTAGATCCCCCCTGTTTTTGCACATTTACGTTGGGACTACGGGACGGTATCCTGGGAGATCCCCTGTTGTTATTTTTGTGTACTGAGCTGTTGACTTGCTATGATTTCATTCTTGTTAAATTTCATTACTTATTTTTACTGTAATATTTCATTCTGTCTTAGTTTATTATATATATACTAGTAGGTCCCTGACCTGATCTCGTCATTACTCAACCGAGGTTAGGTTTGGCACTTACTGGGTACCGTTGTGGTGTACTCATGCCCTTCTATGCACATGTTTTTCATGTGTAGATCCAGGTACCGCTTATCAGCCGCATTATCAGTGAGGCAAGGCAGCTGTAGAGACTTCAAGGTATATCTGTCGCGTCCACAGACCTCGGAGTCCCTATCTACTCTTCCCCATGTCAAACACTTCTTGTATTTCTTTTTGTTAGATTCTGGAATATAG